AAAAATCAAAGATATAACATATACATGATTATCCTTATTAAACCTAAAAGACTGCAGACATATAAGGAATTATATAAGGTTCTTAGGAATATTTATCTTTTTGTGACATGTAAGCCTTAACTTTCCAATTTCACATATACAGTTCCTTGGTAAAGTTCTTTCTCTAGTTTCAGACATAATTCTGTTTCAAAATCTGCCTTCTAGGATAATAGTCTTGAGAGTCCCATATCACAATAAAAAAGGCAGATGAGCTGGGCACCACTGGCTCATACCTCTAATCAGGAGAATGACATATGAGGATCATAGTTTGAAGCTAGCCCAGGCAGAAAGTCCATAGGATCCTCATCTCCAATTAGCCACCACAAAACTGGAAATGAAGTTGTGGCTCAAGTGGCAGAGTACTAGCCTTGAGCAAAAAACTTTGGGCTATTAACAGGCCCTGAATTCAAGTATATGAAGCCAGCAGGAACACATCAAAAAAAGAGAAGCATAGATTTATCTTTTTGATGAACAAAATGCAAAACTTCTCAATAAAATACTGGCTAACCAAATTCAACAAATAACAAAAATCATACACTATGATTTAATGGGACTCACCTTAAAGATGCAAAACCTTAAAGATGTAAATCAATGAATATAACACAGTAATAGAAAAACAAAAATCATATGATGATCTCAATATACATATAAAAGTTTTTAAAAGTAATATCCAACATCTTTTTATGATAAAAGCACTGGAAAATATATGGGAATACATAGAATATTCCTCAGCATAATGAAGGCTATTTACGACCAACCTACAACTAACATTATACTTAACAGTAAAAAACTGAACTATTTCTTCTGGAGTCAGGAAGATTCCAAGTAGGGAAGGAAGAAGTAAAACTGTCCCAATTTCAGATGACATGATCCTATATTTAGAGGACCCTATATACACCTCTCCTAAGCTAGTAGAGCTGGCTAAAACTTTGATAAAGTGGCCAGGTATCAAATCAAGACACAAAAGTCAGAAGCTTTTTGTATGCCAACAATAAGAAGATTGAGACTGAAATCAGGAAAGCAACTCCATTTGCAATAATCTCAACAAAAAGTACCTAGGAATTAACTTAACCAAGGATGTGAAGGACATCTACAATGAAAACTACAAAAATTTGAAGAAGGAAATTGAAGAAGACAAGGAAATGAAAAGACCTTTAATGCTCCTGAATTGGCAGAATATCATGAAAATAGTATTATTGCCCAAAGCAATCTACAAATTCAATGCAACACCCATCAAATCCCAACACCATTCTTCACTGAGATAGAGAAAATCATCCATGAGTTCATATGGAACCACAAAAGGCCCTGAGTCACAAAAACAATTTTGAGCAGTGTTAGAGGTATAACAATACCAAATTTCAAACTACTACAGAGCTATAGTAAAAACAAAACAAAACAGCTTGGTACTGGCCTGAGGACCAATGGGACAGAATAAAAAACCCAGAAACAAAGCCACAGACCTACAGCTATCAAATGTTTGTCAAAGAAACAAAAACATAGGCAGCCTCTTCAACAAATGGTGCTGGGAAAATTGGTTCTCCACATGCAGAAAATTGAAACTGGATCCCTATCTATCAATTCAAAATGGATCAAAAACCTTGATGTAAGACCCAAAACTATGAAATTTTATTATAGGAAGGAGAGGAGAAAAATTAGGACTTGTTGACCTGGGCAGAAACTTTCTGAGCAAAGATCCATAAGCAGAGCAAATCAAAAACTTGATAAATGGGACTGCATGAAACTAAAATGTTTCTGCAAGGCAAGGACATAGCCAACAAGGTATAAAGACAATCTACAGAATGGGAGAAGATTTTGGCCAACTACACATCAGACAACAGCCTAATATCCAGAAATATAGTGAACTTAAAAATATTAGATCTTCAAAAAACCCAACAACCCAATTAATAAATAGGCTAATGAGTTAAAGAAAGTCTTCTTAGAAAAAGTAGTAAAAATGGTCAACAGACATATAATGAGATAACAGCTCTGGCAATAAAGAAAATGTTTGATTTCAAAACAACCCTGAGTTTCCACCTGACCCCAGTTAGAATGGCCATTATAAAAAAAAAAGTCAACAAAGTTTGGCAAGGATGTGGCCAAAAGGGAACCCTAATACACTGTTGATGGGAATGTAAATTTGCTTAACTACTCTGGAGAGCAGTATAGAGATTCCAAGGATCCAGCAATTCCATTCTTGGCCATTTACCTAAGAAATTAAAAACCAGGAATCACCAGCATAAACCCTGTTCATCTCAGCACTATTTACCATAGCCAAAGTATAGAGCCCAATTGCCCTTTAATGGATGAATGTATCAAGAAAATATGGTATATATACACAATGGAATGTGGTGTATATATACACATTAGAGAGAATGGTGTTGCATCATTTGAAAGAACTGGAAAGATCTGGAAAACATTATGTTAAGTGAAGTAAATCAGGCCCAGAGAAACAAAGGTTACATGTCTTCTCTCACATATGGAAGCTAGAACTTGGTTATAAATACACAAGTAATTATGTTGGGTGGTATGCGAGTGTATACAAATGTGTTAAGTGAAATGTAGTAGACTTAGGAAAGAATACAAACAGTGAAATTCCTTAGAAAGGCAAAATCAAAGTTCAACAAACACCAAATAAACACCAGGAAATGAATAATTGAAAGGGATGGGGGAGGGGGTCAATGGGAAAGGAGTAGACAAATAGAAGAATGAGAGGCGAATGCAGTAAAAAGGAATCCAATGTACATACTACAAAATTAAGAAAAGTACGGAAAGGGTGGGCTGGGAGGGATGAGTGAGAATGTTAAAAGGGGTGACAATAATCAAGATGCATTATATATTCACAAACTGATTTGTTGAATGACAACACTTTTGTATAACTACTTAAGGATAATAAAATAAAAAAAATTAAAAAGGCAGGTATCAGAATAGAACATAGACATAAGTGCATTTCCTGATGATGTGCCCAGGGGAAAAGGCAGAAAAAGTTAATATAATAAAAAATAATATTGAGAGGTGGCACTTTACAATATTATTACTTCTTTTTGAGATGCTAGAAGAAAGCTATTTTACTGAAATACTATTAGTAAAACTTGCTTTTTTGGCAACATTTCTTCTTGGTAAATTTAATGTAAAGCATGATAAAAGAACAATGCTAGCAAATTTTGCTAGTAAGTAGTATCTCCATAGTTCCAACAAAAGAAGTCCTTCATTTCCTGATAGGATGGTGGGACTTAGTATTGTGTTCTATACCCAAATATTTCAATCAAGTAGACATGAAGAGGCACAATCATAAGAAGAGCTTATTTCAGGGAGAGGTAGGTAGGTAATTCACTTTTGGTTCTCTTGATTCTTAGGTGAGTGCAAGGTACTTAGATAAGAAGAACTGTTTGATGGCATCAGATAGTGCCTTGTAATGAAATCTTGAGCAATTCTACAAGGAAATCTCTATGTTATTCATAATATTAGGAGGTATAGGAGGTTTTGTGACAAATTTTTGCATTTCCCATAAAAGATACAGCTTTCAACACTGAAGGAAAAATGTGATTTCCAGGGAAAAAATGAAAGAAAATAAACTAGAGGATCTAAAACAGCAAATACTGAAGTAAAACCAAGAAAATCCGGTATCACTTGACTAAAAATAAAAAAATGTACTCCAAAGGTCAGCAGTTCTTTGGGAATTATTTTTTGTTGTTGATTATATGGTGAATATCTGAAAATTATATAGGATTCAGTAAGATTTGGGGTAAAGTATTCCACATCCACACCCACTTAGTGTTGTCAGAAAGGAGCATTTCATATTGATAATACCAAAGTAAGTCTCCAAAGTTCATGCCCTTTATTCAAAAATTACTTTCCTAAGACTATATTCTAACAAAATAATTCAACTGTGTGCACTACTGGAGTCATAAAAACACAAGAAAGAGCAAAATACTGGAAAATAACCCCAAAGTCCAACATTCAATGAAGTTACATTATGTACTTATCAATCTGAACATGCAGCAAAAACACAGAGAAACAATGAAATTATGCTAATTGAACGAGTTTGAAATAATTGTAGAAACACTGGCTTCATCTATGTAGAAAACAGTTAAGGAGAAAAAACTAAATGGGAAGGCTTGAAGTGGTGCTAATAAGGCAGTCAGATGATATATTAATTTTCCTTTTTTAGATTTGTTTTATTACTAATAAAAATCATTGCCTTTATGTAGGGCTTTCAACATGAAGTACTTAAATGATTATTTTTATCTCATAAGAATCCTAGGAGGCGTATGCTATTAGCATTCTTATTTTAAAGATAAGAAAACTCAGATTTAAAAAGATTGAGTAACTAGCCAAGATGACACACAGATTAGGTGGTAGATCTGAGGCTAAACTTTTGTACTACTCTAAAAGTTCAGTCTTTAAAAAAAATCATAGCCAGGCACTGGTGACTCACACCTGTAATCCTAGTTACTCATGAATCTGAGATCTGAGGATCATGGTTTAAAGTCAGCCCAGGTAGAAAAGTCCATGAGACTCTTATCTCCAATAAACTATTCAGGAAAAGCTGGAGTGGCACGGTGGCTCAAGTGGTAGAGTACTAGCCTTGAGCAAAAAGCATCTCAAGGATAGTGCCCAGGCCTTGAGTTCAAGCCCAAGGACTGAAAAAATTAGCATATATTAATAGTAAAAAGAAGTTTCATTGTAATAATTCCATAAATGTGTATTAATCCACAATATAACATTATCCCATTTAGTTTTGTTTTTCAATTAAAACATGTATTGCTTTAATGAGACCACATTAAAATCAAATGACACTTCTTATGTGATTAAAAGAAATACTGAGACATGGATTGGCTCTAACTTTTTAGAACTCAATGTAGTGAAGGGTGGGAGTGGAGAAGGGAGAGTGATGTAGGATGACAATGATATAGGGTAGGAGGCATGGGGAAAGGGAGGATGGAGAGCTCCAGGGTACTCACTTCCTCCACAGCCTTGTTCATACAGTTCTTCTTGGCAGCCTCCTGGAGCTCCATGGCCTGCTGAATGTACATTTTCCCAGCCAAGATTTCATTCTCCAGCATCGATAGTTCTTTCAAGGAAATGGGCCAATTTAACCGTTCTAATGCCTGGTTTAAAGCTGCTTTGTTTTCTAAGTACTGTATTGGCTTGACTGAATCTAGCCTATAAACATACATAAAAGAAACAAAAGAAAAGTAAAATAAAAAAATATGATAAAATGATTCCTTAGTAGACTTTCATCCAAGAAACATCTGTTGAAGCAGGCATAGTATATCAGATGATAGTCACAGCTACACCCTTCTGGTATGTCAAGACTTTGGTAGCTTGCATAGATTAAAAACTAGCCAACTCTATGAGTAGTAGGTATTTTTATCCATTATCCTTATCCACTTGATGATCTGCTTTAAAAATATTGCTATACATTAATTTTTTCCAGTACCATTTTCCAAACATTGGAGCCTATTCCTTTCTCCGTATGCCTCACATCTGGAGGAACCCCATCTGAGCTTCAAACAGAATTCACTCTTCTAGGCCTAGCACTAACTCTGGAAAGCAAAGTAAGACAAAGCAAAGCAAAACATTTGCCTCCGCTAAATAATTCTTGTACTAGTTTCAGCTATTTTGATCTCCTTTCCTCCATGTAAGCCTAAATAGGCCAAACTTTCCAGCTTCGTTGTTTGGGCACATAAGGAATGCAGATTAAACTTTATATGAGCTGATGATCACTCTGTGGAACTCACAGGGAAGGTAGCATGGTATGTAAGCCCAGGTCCTGGATTCAATTTCCAGTCCCTGTAGCTTCTGAGCCAGAAATCCTGGAAGAGGGGCAAGGACAGCTCAGTACTCGCAAATCATTGAATATAATTCAGCAAACAGAATCAAAGACAAAAATCATATAGTTATATCAAATGTAGTGTAGAAAAAAGCCATACAAAATTCTATATCCCTTCATAACAAGATGATTAAGACTAGGAGTAAAAGGATAACATATCAATAAAATAAAGTGTAGCTATGACAGATCTATATCCAACATTATACCAAATGATGAAAAACAGAGCATGTCCTTGTCATCCTACTAGGGAAGGGAAGGTTGAAAATCTCCCCTCTACTATGATCAGGAATACAAGTACTGCTACTGAACATTAGATCCTAGCTAAATTAATTAGGCAAGAGAGAAAAAAAAGAAAGCCTCCTCAATCGGAAAAAAGAAGTAAACTATTTCCATTTGCAGATGGCTTACTACTTCCCTTTTTAAGTGGGGGTGCCTATGCCAGGTCTTGAGTTCAGAGCTTTATAGTCTCACTTGGCTTTCTTGCTCATGGATTGTATTCTATCACTTGGGTCATACCTTCTGTCTGGTATTTTGCTGGCTAATTGGAGATGGAGTCTCACAGACTTTTCTTTCCAGGCTAGCTTCAAGCCTCAATCCTCTTAGCCTTCTAAGAAGCTAAGATTATAGGAATAAGCTACTGGCAACTAGCTACAAATAGTTTATTTCCATATATAGAAAACTCTATAGACCCTTCTCTCTTTTCTAGATCCACTAGAACTAATTAATTTGTCAGTTATAAAACACAAGATGAGGCAAAACATGAATATTTTTTGTTTTTATAAAGCAACAATGAATAATCAAAAAATGAAATTAAGAAGACAGTCCCACTTACAATTAGATCCAAACAAATAAAACATCAGGAGTAAAAGATTTGTATAATGAAAACTAAAAAACATTGCTGAGAGACTGAAAACCTAAATACAGGAAGACATCTTATTTTCATAGATTAGAAGACAATATCATTAAGATAGCGATACTTCCTAATGCCTCTCAAGCAAATTGGTTGGTTCAATGTAGTTTCTATCAAAATCCTAATGATTTTCTTTTCCAGAAATTTACATGGAACAACAAAGTTGAAGGATTCACACTTCTTAATTTCAAAACTTGCTACACAGTTATATAATCAAAATAGTGTCCTATTGGAATGAAATAGACATAGACATCCATGGTATATAATAATCCATAACAAATTCAAATACTTATGGCCAAATGATTTTTTTGATAGAGGTGTCACAGCCATTCAATGGCACGTGCGCGCGCACACACACACACACACACACACACAACACACACACACACACACACACACACACACACACACGACACAAGATTCTCAGGAACTTTCCTATCTGGGATGGCTCTGACCCATGATCCTTAGATCTCAGCCTCCTGAGTAGCTAGGATTACAGGTATGAGCCACTAGTGCTTGGCTTTAAATATTTTTTAAAGGTAAAAAACCATGTCCAGGAAAAAATAGGAAATCTTGTACATTATACTTCGAAATTCAAGTATTCTTCAATACTCAAGAGAAATGAAAATATGCATGCTCACACTTCAACACAAATACCCCTCAAACGTCCACCAGTAGAATGAATGAATGAAACAGGGCGCGTGCATAAAAGTGTGTGTGTGTGTGTGTGTGGTTCAGGGCTGCTTGAAGTTCCATATGCATCTAACTGATTCATGGCACAATTTGAATGAATGTAGAAACTCAAGTTTTCACAGTAAGTAAAAGAAGCCAGAAACAAAAGACACCACATGTTGTATGATTCCTTTCCTTCCAAAATGGAAACATTTCAGAGACAGAAAGCAGACTGTGGTTACCAGGGGCTGGGGAAAAGGAAATGGGGAGCGACTGCTTTATGAGTACAGGACCCCCACCACGAGGTGATGAAAGGGGTTTGAATCTAAAAAGGTGGTGGTTTGTACAACATTTTAAATACTATTCAATTATACACTTTAAAATGGTTTTTGCTTATACAAATTTCATTAACAAATGATGAGGGAGTGGAATAGAGCTTACTTTTCTTTTTCCTCTTGAGATAATGCTTGCCAAACAATTTTATTCAAGCGCCTGTTTAAAAAAAGCACAATAATTTAGATGTGATGCTACATTTCATGGTAAAGCTAATTATAGCTCTAAAGGGCAGAGGAGGCTGAGCCTAAGTGCAGTACCCCCACCACTGGGTCCAGGTTGCTGTCTTCTGATATGAATGTCTCCCTCTCCCAGCACTACTGCAGAAACCCGTGGCAATCCTGTCAATACTAAAGCAAGACTCAGTGCTCAACTCAGAGTAAACACAGGAAACAAACTGATCCTCATTATCTCTGCATTAATAAAATTCTAAATATTCTCTTCTTCCTTCTCCCCCACAAGGAAAATATAACTGAGCCCTTAGCTTGGTTTTATAGATAATCTAGTTCAATTCTCAAAGCAAAAGTAGTTGAAAGGTTAATAAATAATGGGACAGGAACCCATGTTAAGACATCAGCCAGGCTGATTGCCTTGTCCAGATGAGGCCAGGGAAAAGGTAACCAGGTGACACACTTCATTAACCAAAACCCATCATGGGTCACAGCCTCAGAGTAGCTGCTGAGCCAGAGGGAAGGAGATTGGAGATAGTGGGTCCTGGAGGTAGATACAACTCTCCTTGTTAGTAAGCAATGATACTTCAAGTCCAGCTCAGTACCACCACATTATTACAGGCATTATGGATTTCAGGACACAGAACACTTGCTCCAGGAGGTGAAGTATGAACTGGGTTCCATGAAAAATAAATGCTTCAATGAAATGAGGTAGAGACCACACCTTCTCCTGGAGGTGCTCTGACAATTGTAGCTAGTGTCAGCAGTACACAGCTTTGAGAACATGTTTTGGATAGAGACATTATCTTGCCTTGCTCACCTGTGAAGAAAGGGCAAGGAAATCCTGCATTGGGGAACAGCATGGACTTGAGCCACTGTATAGGGCCAGAAGCTCATTTAGCTTTGTCACTTCCTAGATGTGAGACTTTGGGCCATTACCAAACTTTACTGCCAAATGATGCCTGCTTCCTCGTGTAGCTGAGGGGCCTCTATGAGCTAGCCTGTGCATAGCACATGCAAATGTGTCTGACAGAAGGAAATATTCTGTAAGTGGTGAAAAGAGAGTCAGGAAGAGGGAAATGAGCCAGCTTGGTGTTTCTGTCTCACTTGAAACTTTTGGTTCTTTGGGGCATATTTAGAAATAAGGTTTCTTTCATCATGTGACTCATTTAACAATAACCAGGGCTTCTAAGAGTTATTTAAAAGATCCATAGTGTATATATATATATATATATATATATATATTGTTTTTTTAAAAAGAAGAACTACTAAGAATTCTCTTAAATCTAAACGTGAAATTAGATTCAGTGGAATGGGAGAAGCTGGGAGTATGGGTAAGGGCTATAGAGCAACTTAGGTCTAGGTTCAAAGCGTGGGACAATAACAGAGGTCCATTCCCATTGAAAGATTCCAGTGCTTTACTAAGCAGAGTAGTAGATGCAGGAAAGCCATTAAATGTGTGAGGTGAGCAGGAAGTGAGAGGGCCTAAATGTGAGTGGTTCTCTAAGGCTGGTCCAGCTCCTTGACTCTGAAGTTTTACTAACAATGTTTTCCTTCTTTGCTTGTTATAAGAGACAAATTTGTTTGTATGAACTGTCTCACTCTAGCTCTAGTTTTCAAATTTATGTATACCAATAACTGGCTCATTTGCAAAGTAACTCATAACTAATGACACTTCAGAAATCTGGTCAACATCTGTCTCAGTAAACAGTAGACCACAGCAGAGTTTCCAAGCACAGTCCCAGAGCCAGGATAGAAATGTAGTTTCCTTTGTGGATATGAGGGCTGTTACTTTGAATTTATTCTTGTACCAAAATGAGCTATAGAAAAATCACTCTAGAACTCAGCACTGGAAATACTCAAAGCTTATCCTCAGACACATGAAGCCAAAATTACTGCCTCAATTCTTTAAATATTCAAACAGAAGAATACCCATACATGGACACTATGGCCAATTAAGGTTATATGAATTAAGGTTGATATTTGAAGTTTATACCTGGCTTACTTAATATTGCTTAAGTATTTCATCAGTTACTTTTCACATTTTGGATATCTTGAGAAAAAAGGTGAGAGACAAAAGGGAAATAACATAGCAATACAATTCTTAAATACTTCTTTATGCTATACAGGGGATTGATCATACTGCCTGTACATACCAGGCAAGTGCTCTATCACCTGAACCTGGCCAAGTCCTTAAGATCAGGAAGTTTTTGTTATGTGTAGCATTAATATTAATATTGGTACTGTTAAACTAACATCAAGTAAATAACTTAAAATAAATACCAAATCAATAATACTACATAATTGATATTAAACAAATAACATTAAATATGATTAGATGTCAATAATATTAAAGTTAACTTTACAGATATTAAAATTGTTATTGTTGCTAATAACAATGTAAGTTGAGCACTTCTAAAATAAAATTATTGGAAATTTGGATTCCTAATGTTAGACTTATTTTCACATTTTGAATATTTGTATATTCATAATGAGCTATCTTGGTGATAGGCCCTAAGTCTAAACACAGAGTTCATTCATGCTTCATATACAACTTATACACATAGCCTGAAAGCAATTCATTCAATATTTTTACAGTGTCTATGTTTTGACTATAGTTTATCACATGAGGTTAGGTGAATTTTCTACTTTAGCATCACATGGACATTCAAAAAGTTCAGGTTTTAAAACATTTGGGATTTATAATTTGTTGGTTTTATTAAATATATATTTTATTGTAAAGATACTGTACAGAGGGGTTACAGTTACATGAGTAAAGTAATGAGTACATTTCCTATCAAGCATTATTACCTCCTCCCTTGTTTTCCCCCTACCATCTTTTCCCTCATCACCTCCCCAACTTCTCCTTCCCCCCACCCAAAGTTTTAAAATTCATTTTCAATGTGGTGTCCTGTGCATGTCATTGCTACAATGGCTCAACCTGTATCCCTGTTTCAGCATTTTGTTATTTCCCTTTCCTTCCCCAAATTAGAAAAATGTATATCCAAGATGCAGGGCACAGGAATCAAATGGAGTGAAAACAGAGGTTATACCTGGGGGAAGAATATACAAAAGAAACCAAAAAATCACATAGTACATTATAAGTACCATAAAACAACAGCAAAAAAGATAAGTGTCATAAGCTTTTTTGTTTAGGTTGGTTTGGAACCATGATCCTCCTGATCTCAGCCTCCCAAGTAACTAGGATTACAAGATTTCTAACTTTTTAATCCAGAGTGAGATGCTCAATTTGTAGTGACAGCATTTCTCTACAGACTCTTCCAGAATTACTCATTGGAAGAAGTGGAACAAATCATTTACTGCACCAATATTTTGGTTTTGCTTTTAGGGAATGGGGGGAGGAGGTTCTCATCATTCTTGGAATCGCAGAGCCAAGATCAGTACATTGGGAAAGGACACATGATCAATTCCACCATGTATTTTTAGTATCTGCAAATTTAGGAAATGAAAAGTCTAATTCTCATTAATTGCTCATTCCTCACAACAACCTTGTGAGGCAGGTCCTGGAGTAAAAGCATTTAAGGTTTCCTAAAGTATGTGTCAGGGCCAAGAATGAAGTCCACGGGTGCTGTCTGACCTCTAAGTTCTAGCTTATGACCTACATCAGGTACTCACACACTAGGTAATTATAGGACCCAAATATTTTAATTATTCAAGCAAAGTACACAATAGTATATGTGTTATTACATTTTGGGTATCTGAATTTGAAAAGTTTTAATAACTGGAATCATATCAAGCTTGAACAAAATTCAAATAGTCAAATACACAAACACCTGCTAGGAATAAGTGAAGAACATGAGGTTGGCTAACATCTGGCCTAAACACTGTAACCTAGAGGAACAGAGACTATGAATAAGTCACAGGCCTCTTTAGTAGTTGTAAAGACCTCAGGAAGGGTGGGAAACAGAGAGGAAAGGCCCCTCTATGGAGGCCACTGGCGTTGAGGCAAGAAGAGACCAGCTGAGGACAGCGGCCTAGCAGGAAGGGGAGATAGAAGCTCTTGAGGCAAGATGTGCCTGGAAGTTTCAAACCCACAGAGAAGGGTAATCCTTGGTCCAGAGCATATTGCCTCTGAGAAAAAGATAAAGGGACAGGGAAATACAGGTTGAGCACACTTAATCCAAAACTCCTAAATTATCCCACATCTTATATGTCTTGAGTATTGACATGATGCTATAAAATAGAAATTTTCACATGACAAAACTTCATTTCATTCACAAAATTACTAATGATATTTTATAAACATTACTTCCAGGCTTTGTGCATGGTGTGTATAAATACAAATGAATATTATATTTAGACTTTTACTCTGTCTCCAACACATATTGTGTACATGCAAACGTTTTACAATAAAAAAAATGCTCAATGTGAAACACTTTTGATCCCAAATAGTTTGGATACAGGAGACCCAACTTGTACTGAGAAGCTGTACTGAGAAGCCAACTCAGGCAGACAAATACACGAGATTCTTATCTCTAACAAGCCAGAGTGGAGGTATGACTCAAGTGGTAGAGCATCAGCCTTGAGTAGAAAAACTCAAGTAAGAGGACACAGCCTTGGGTTCAAAATTCAGTAGCAGAACTCAATAAGCAAATAAATAAATAAATAAACTCAGTTGAAGATATTCAGGTAAAGAACTTGAGTAATGCAGCATCAGGCATATCAGACATCACCATGTTGACCTCCATTGATGTTAATGCTGGATAATTTTTAAGTTATTGCTTCTGATAAAAGTCTATGCAAGCCGGGTGCCAGTGACTTATGCCTGTAATCCTAGCTATGCAGGAGACTGAGATCTGAGGATTGCAGTTCAAAGCCAGCCCGGGCAGGAAAGACTGTGAGATTCCTATCTCCAATAAACCACTAGAAAACCGAAGTGGTGCTGTAGCTCAAGTGGTAGAGCACTCACCTTGAGCTGAAGAGCTAAGAGACAGCACCCAAGGCCCAGAGTTCAAGCCCCATGACTGACCAAAAAAAAAAAAAAAGGTCTATGCAAAGATGAGAAAATATGTTGAAATAAATTCCATACCCATAAAAGATAAGTAGGAATACCACTAACCTTTCATAGGACTTGATTGCCTGTTCTACTTTTTGCTTGTAGATATTGAGTTTGACTCCTTGGGGGTTAATGAAAGTCATCTTATTTGTATTATTGCACACGTGTGCCAGGGGGAACACCTACACAGCAAAACCAAAGGGAAGAAAGCATCACTTGGCAAGTTAACATGAGCCTTCAAAAGTTTACACACATGGCTAGATGTTTTTCTAATTGTAAAACAATACACTATGAATGTAGAAAATACAGTAAATCTGGCTTCCTGCCATAGCTGTGATGACAGACATGAACCATCATGCCCAGTTTTTTTTCTGTTGAGATAAGCATTTTGCCCAGGTGGACTAAAACTGTGAACCTCTCAATCCCAGCATCCTAAGTACATGGAATTACAGGTGTGACCTATTGTGCCTGGTTGGCTGGTGCAAGAGTTATATGTGTATGTTCGCGTGTGTATGTGTGTGTGAAATTACATATATGTATGTAATTTGTATCTTGTATCATGAAACCTCATCCTGCAGGAATGGCAGAGTATCAGAGAGTTTCCCTTTGATCTTTTGTCTGTACCCGATACTTACTTTTGAGTTCTGATTCTATGCTAAGTAATTTTAGGGACATAAATGGTAAGTTTATTACTAGTTTGGTAGAAATTCTAATCTCCCACCTCAATTCTTTTGGGACCATTCTGATGTCAAAGTTCATTCATTGCCCCTCCATGTATTCTGTCCAAAATTTATAGTTGTATTTAATGGGAGAAACATTGTAATATGCTTACTCTACCTTCCCTTAGAGTTCTTTCTGCCAAAGTCTGCTTTCATCATAATACTATCTCTAACATTATATTTACCTACGTCCACAGTAGCTATCTCTCCCAAGAGAATGTGAGCTCTATTACAGTAGGAACTTTGCTTTATTCACCACTGTATTTCCTGTTACTATCTAGCACAATACCTGGAACATAATGTACCTTCAACGAATATTTATTGATAAAAGAATGCACAGACCTCAAACAATACATACTATATACAGTATGGCATATATACTACACACACACATCGACACACACACATAGGCACGCACGCATGCGCGCACACGCACACACACACACACACACACACACACACACAGAGTCTGGTACTAGAGCTTGAATTCAGGGCCTTACATTGTTGTTTACTTTTTCACTGGCAACTGGAGCTCTTCCATTTGAGCCATGACTCCAGTACTCTCATACTTAATATTTAAGTAAAACAGAAAGACATTTTGGAAGTATGAGAAATTACTTTTTTTAAGAAGGATTTTTTTTACTTTTAATAATGATGTTTCCCCTTGCCTCTTAAATCAGACTATATTTTATTGTTCAAGAAAATAGTGCAAAGGAAGAAGTATAAAAGGAAAATTTATGATTGATTTTTAGAAATAGGAAGCTGGAAAGCAATGAACAAGAGAGCAGGGCTGAATCTGTAGGCTGTTGGCTCTATAACCAATGGTGGACTCAAGTCCTGAAAGGCAGGAGGGACCAGAATCAAGCTCAGCAAACGGTATGAGGGTGTCTCACTTTGCCTAGTGAATGAGGACACATGTACAACCTGTCAACATGGACTGAACCAAGCCTGTCTCACTTGAAATGGTCATTGCAAGTCACAGGATCTTCATGGAACTACATAATGTCTGATGGCATGTGGGTGTAGGGGAAGGAGCACAGGAGGATAGACTTAGGCAACTGCAAAATGGCAGAAGAAAACAGATTTTAAAATTTTGTAAAAGTGAGCCTGATGCTGGTTGCTCATGCCTGTAATCTTAGCTATTCAGGAGGCTGAGATCTGAGGATTGAGGTTTGAAGCCAACCTGGGCAGGCAAATCCATGAGACTCTTAGCTCCAATTAACAGCAAAAGGCTAGAAGTTGAAGTATGACTCAAGTGATAAGAGTACCAGCTTTTGAGCAAAACATTAAGCAAGAGAAATAGGCCCTGAGTTCTAGTCCTAGTAATGGTACACACACACACACACACACACACACACACACACACACACACACACACAGAATGCACATACACATACATACAAAATCTCATTAAAATGATCCAGCATACTAAAATTCTCAAATACATACACAGCAAATAAATAGCTAAAAATAACAGCTGAGCAAATCAACTATCACAAAGTCTAAGTATTTAAGAAGAAATTAATTCTATGTTATGCCAGCCTCACAATGACATTAAGACCAAAGATGGAAAGGACATATAAAGCACAAAAGCTCACTGAAATGACATAAGAAGAAATACATGGAGAAAATCCCAAAAAGTCTATCTTGAAATAAAAAAAAATCCTAAAAAGAATAAACTCTAAGCTAAATGCATTTTTTAAAAATGGTGAACGAGGTAGCAGTACTAGTCTCTCCAGAACACTGCAGTGACACTAAAAAGAATATAAATAGATGAGTAATAGAATATAGAAATGGAGAAACCTCAATATAGATAAGAGAAATTTCAAAATAATAGAATAGAATAGAAAGACTGCTAGAGAAGCAACAGTTGAAAACATGCTCCCAGGTTTTACAAAACTTTGGTTGTATTTATTCCAGTCCACAGGGGAGGTTGGAATTAAATCATATGTTGGCCAGAACTGGTGTTGCAGCAGTTAATTATAAAAGAGGGATTGGGTGTTGTGTGAGTGGTTTAGGAGAAGGGGCATTGTGGTGCAAGGGTTAACATTGTTCCAAAGTTCAGCAAAGATGGCATTTTTCAGCGCCCCAGAAAATCCTAGTCTATCTTCACAGTATGTATAACAAGATTTTAGAAATTTTGTTTTAAAAATAATTAAAGTACACATAGAAATTCAGGCTAGTGTTAATTTCTGAGGAAGAAAAGAAGGGAAAGGGATCTAATGAGACAGCACAGAGGTCCTCAATTTATCTGCAATGGTTTATTGTGTTTAATATCTAAAACATAAATAATATTAGATTTAAAACCATCAAGCAGTGGTTACTTCTAACACTTGGGGTTTCAGGACAAGTAAGGAGGTAGGTAGGGCTTTTACTTTTTACTGCATTCTAATAACTACATATATTTTTTTAAGCTGCATATAATGAAACCACCAAGACACAAAGAAACAAAATAATAGGCAAAAGAGAAAGAATGAAATTAAAAGCTTCATAGCTCAACCTAGCTACTTCCAAACCAGACAAACTTGATGTGTGGCTTTTAAATAATTCCTGTCAAAGGAAAGAGAACAGAACAGTGGGTTAAAGGTGAGACAACTGAGGTTTGAAACTGAAGTTTAAGTAAAAAGAAAAAAAGCATCACCTCTCAAAAATAGAGCTAATGTCACATAAGCTTTCAGAAGAGGGAAAAGTCAATCCTAACCAAAATGAAAGGCATTTTTTTCTCTCCCTGGAGGAAAAATACCTTTAGAAGTCTATAAATTTGCCTTCCAACTTGACAACTTATATATGATTCAACTGAAGATCAATACCACTAAATACTACTGACTTCACATACTTAAAGTTCCATTCAGGTTTACTTCCCTCTTTTGTGGATTTGGATTTTATGCCTTGGGTAGCCATGGTGGACTTGCAGGTAGTAGTTTAAATCTGACTTGGGTACACCCACTCTCCTTCCTTTCTGCATGCAGATTTAGAGAAACACAACGACATACTCCACGCCTTTGGTCTGTGGTCTTACTTTATAACATGATGGTTACATGGAGGTTAGAGGAGACAGTCTCTTTATGATGTCGGGTTGAGTGTGACTGAGGTCATAAAAGGCATTCTCTGGGTCTGGGGGATCAGGATCCTAGATGCCTAGCTTCTCTAAGGAACATGTGGTGAAGGAGGTGAGGTTCAGGAAGAAGTTGAGGACTCCGTTTGAGAGGGATAAAACCATCTAATAATAGCACCTTTGAAAATGGCTTTCTTAATACTTTAATAACAGAATGGTCCTTCTGTTCAATGTCAAGGTATTGCCTACTTATATTCTCTAGAGACTTACTGAATTGATATTATTAATCATGCCTTTAGTTAACAAAATAGTTACTATGAAGAACGTAGAGCTAGAGGTATATGTATGTATACATATATACAAATAGTGTATGTGTACATGTGAGTACATATGTGTGTGGGGGTTTGAGACAGGATGGATTAGGGAAAAATGAGGCATAGGAAACAGGAGCCAGGAATTCAGAGACAAACCATGTATTATTAATAAACAGCTTGACTAAAAGCACATAAACACTGCTTTGCTGTGCTTTGATAAGGATGGAAAGCATCTGGCCCATAGCAAATGATGTTCTTCTTGAAAGCTTTTCTTCAGCTGCCTGTGCCTCTCTCCCCATACTGATAATTTTATACAGACTAAGAATGATATTATGAATAACCAAATGTCTACTGAGGAACCAAGAGGTTTGCATCCTTTAGTAAAAAGAAAGGGGGAACAATTCTCTCTGGGACCTTGTCAACTTGCCCAAATAATTAGTGTGCTCTGGGAACTGAGTAAGCATATCTTAAACCTATGGAAGAAGGAAAACACTTGGAAAAATGACTCCTATGGGCACAAAGGAAGGGGTAACAGTGCTCAACAAGAAACGTACAGACTACATTACTCATGTAACTGTAACCACTCTGTACAGCATCTTTACAATAAAATAAAATTTTAAAAAATGCAAATCAAAACAACATTGAGATTTCACCTCATCCAAGTGAGAATGGCTATAATAAAGAAATCTAGTAACAATAGATGCTGTAGGGGATGTGGCCAAAAGGGAGTGCTACTACACTGTTATTAGGAGTGTAAACTTGTCCAGCCACTCTGGAAAGCAGTATGGAGGTTCCTCTGTTTTACTGTAGTGATAGCAAAAAGATACAGTATAGGAAAATGAGCACTCTCAAAACTTCAAGTAAAAGCTGGACACAGTAGCTTATGCCTATAATCCTAGCTACTTGGGAAGTAGAGAGAGATTGGGAGGATCCCAATTTGAGGTCAGCCAAGACAAAAAGTTCACGAGACACCTATCTCAACCAATACTTGAGTATGATAGCACATATCTGTCATTCCAGCTACCTAAAAAGCAGAAGGAGATCTTGAGAATTGTAGATATAGGCTAGCTCTGCCACAAAAAAGTTCTCAAGAC